TTTTTCTGAATGAGGTGGGGATTTGCCTCATTCAGCGGTTGATGCCCTAGTAGAATGCTGCCCCAGTTTGCAGGCTGAATATTGCAATACAAACTCCTCGGTTAGTAAGCAATCGAGCGGATGTTCAAAGCTCCGATGCTCCGCTCTCTCTCTCTCTCTTTTTTGAGGTGGAAGCCAGGGATTCTGCGGTCGAAGTATCAGGTGACTGGGCCGAATTGTGTCACAAGCAAGATTGCCGGAGATTCCAAGATTTCTAAGCCTTGCCGAGGCCTTTGATGAAGGAAAATTATCCACTTCAAAAGCGTCAGAAGATATCGAGAAGCCGGGGCAGCCAGTTGCAGGCTGCGTTGTGTAGATGAGTTAATTGACCTGAGCATGATGTTTGAGCGGAGAGCGCATGGAGACAGGAGTTGAAAGAAGCAAAGCGATGTTTGTGTAAGAACAACAATATGAAACACCAACCGACGGCAGCTTGGGGAATTCTTTCGCCAACTATTTTTTAATTCTAATTTTGGATTGATAGATCTCTGGTTTGGCAGGCAGGATACCTGACAAGGCCAGACACCTGGAACATGCTCCTGTTCAACCAGTTGTATCAGACCGAAGGAAGTTCCTTTAAAGAGGGAGAGGCCATTGCTATTAGGTTGGAGGCAGAAAAGAAGCTACTAGGAACAAGTGCATCGCTTCTAGTAACAAGTGCCTTACTAGTAGTAACAAGAAGCTATTAGAAACCCATTGCAGTTTTTGGATCCAAAAGAGGGAGAGGCCATTGCTATTAGGCCGCCACCTGGAACACCTGGAGTCCTTCACACAGACCTGGAGGCGGCGGAGCAACTGGAAGCACTGCCTTAAAAGGGTCCCCTTTTTCAATCCACAGAAACACTTAGAGTCTCAAAGGAAATCTACATACTGTAGGAGGTTGTCATTTCACCTCGATCCTGTGTAGTCATGCAGAGGAGTCTCAAGAGGTTGCATTCTAATTGATTTGTTTCAGCAAGCTTGCAGGTCAAGCAGCTCTAGCCAAGAATCAAGTGGCTGGCCTAGCGTGCTTCGGATTCCAGCGACCCCGCCGTGGCAACTTGGCACAGGCAAGTGGCACCAAGCAGCACCAAGTCAGCGAAGATAGGAGCCGGTTCTATTGCAAAACGTTGATAGCAGATTAGAACGGTTCTAGTGGTTTGGATTTGTCACTCACCTGACCATTTTTTGCAGGGGAGCTACTGCTGTGGCTGATGTTTTGGGCAACTTGTTTGATATTGACTTTCTACTGAAAAACTATGGTGGAAAATAGCTACTAGTAACAAGGGCATCGCTACTAGTAACAAGGGTATTACTACTAGTAGCTAGAAGCTACTAGTAACAAGGGCAGCACATTGGATCCTTTGCCTCAATGGCTCAATAGATCGAGCACAACCGTCTAGGCAAGTCGTCTGCGATGGCTTCGAACGATGGCATCTACGAAGGTCCAACCAGGCTTAGCACCTCCTTTGCAAAAAATTGCTCTGCGGCTCTGCCCTGCCACTCTGCCTGTGCCTTTGCTTGCTGTGAGTTGCTAGGCAATGGTGGGGTGGGTCTAGCTTGGTGCTCAGATGCGAAGGCAGTGATGGATGCTGAAGGTATTGTGATCATTGTGATGCGTCTTGAGCAGTTGAGTGAGCAGGTGATTTTAATTTTAACATATTTTAACTATATCACACCTCAGGGGTTGAAACTTAGGTTGCTTTACGTGCAAGCTCCGTAAACCAGCTCCCTTCATCCAAAACCCAATGAAGGCACACCGGGACGCTCGCGGCATTTTCCAGTTTCTTCGGCTGTGGGAGCCAGCAGTGCAGTAACATACTCAACCAAGGCAGAACTTGGCGCGCATAGCATAAGTGTGCAGAGAAAAGTGTGCAGGGATTGCATGTCTTTGTGCTGGTTGTCTCAGACTTTGGATGAGACGCGCGCTCAACGGAACCGCCTGGCAAACGCGTTCACCAATGGCAAGCGAACGGGTCAAGTCAACAAGCCCTGTTTCTTCTGCTTTTCGTAGCACGTCTTTTAGACCTGGTGCAGAGGTTGAAGGCGTGATAAGCGGCACTATGACTGGAACTGACATGCCGCGGGGCAGCCAGTGTCAAAGCTACTTTACCTTGCGCAGCCTCACGCTTCTGAAAAGCACTCATGCGTTCGATAGTCGTCAAGTCATTGGAAACCTAAGTGAGGGGACACCCAGGCAGTCCAATGAACCAGCCGGTCCATTTGAGAAAGCAAAAATTGGTCGCCGAGAAGTCCAATCTAGTTCATCAAAGTAAGTGCAGGTCATTGGTCACCTTCACGACCAAACTATGATTCTTTCCATTGGGTGGCGAGTGATGGAGGTCCACCGCTGCGGACCATCTTCATTTCAACAGCCTTTATGAAGCTGGACTTTTCGGAGGTTGTTCTTAGTAAGTAACTGATATAATCTGATATGTATATAGATATATACACTTATATTTAGGAGTGTTTTTGGTGCAATATTGATTTTTTTTGGGGGGTTGGACTTGGTCGCGAGCCGTATCATCGGTGCTTTCTGAATCTTTCTGATTGATTGGTTACTCGCTCCGGCCTTTTGCCCAAAGCGGCTGAGTAGAGAAAATATGTGGTAAAGAAATGACAACACACTTCTTGCACGAGCGACAGTCATACACTGAGCAAACACGTCTTGCGTAAGCAACAGTCATACATTGCGTGAAAAACTGTTGGCAAAGTTTGGCGTTCACATGTCGTTCAAGTATTTGGTCTTGCAATGCCTCGACGTTTGAAAAGCATGGAAAGTCGCTCTTGACGCGCTACAAGCACATGATGTTGACCAAGAACTTGCCACCTGAGAGAGTTCGCGCTGCTCTCTTCCTCCTTTACTGCAAGAAGGATGCGAAGGACCCCGCCAGACAGTGGGGCTTCCCAATCATGAGATTGGACATTTCTTGAAGCATCCAGCGGGAAGTTCGAAACGAACACTTTTTTAAGGTGGGCAAGCTGCCTTTGGTTGTTTTTCCTAGGTTGTTTGTTGCAATTGTGTGCGCTCAGAAGAGCCTGCTAGTTGTGGAGGTCTAGATCAGCTTCAAGAATGGACCGCCTGTCGCACCATCCATTTCGTCGCAACTTGCATATTTGCTTGCGCGGTCCGATGCAGGGTCTGTTCGCGAAGCTGTGGGTGACCTTCATCATCTTGAGGGAGATGGCGCGGTTGAAGGCGCCGCTCGACGACCTCCACCTGGTCGAGTTCGAGGGCCGTGGCCTGAAAGCGGACGAGTTCCGCTACCTCGCTCAGAGGGTGAGCCCGTCACTTGCCACGTTACAGCTGAAGCTTTTATTTCTGTATTTCATTTGCCGATGTTCGGTTCATTGAGGGGTTCCACATGGTGAAGGCGATGCAGGTCATGCGCCAGCACAACATGCGTTCGCAGGATGGCGCTTGGTTCCTGCGACTGAGGTCGCTGGTCGTTGGCTGGCCGGACGCAGAGCTGTGTGGTGTGACCGCTCTCGCATTGGTCAGCGTCGCGAGCAGCGCGCGACAGGCAAGCGCTGGCCCACTGCGTGTCAAAGAGCGCAAGTGGGACAATTTGGCCCCGCCTTCAGGCGCAGTCTGTCAATTGCGCTTTTTCTTTCAGAAGGGCGCTCCATGGGGCCTGCGTGTGAGATTGTTTCGGGTCCTTGTTTGCTGTTGGTTTCATGTGTGTTTACTAGATCCAACGGGTTTTTGACCATTCATGCCATATTCCTACCAAATTGGCTCTGGAAATGCGCGCGCAACCTTTAACTATCTGAACTTTTCTGTTTTTCTCAGTAGTTCTTTGTTACGCACAGTCAAAGTCTTGAAAGCAACAAACAGCACAGAACATCATAAGCAAACCTAACCTTTATTATTAAGATACTTAGGTTTTGGATTTTGAAGAGCGGGCAGCTCCGCCAGAAAAAAACAGGAAGAGGAAGCGGCGCCACAATGACCCTGAGAAGAAAACATCCCACAGAAAAAAGGCCCCAGCGAGAAGTCTCGCCGCAGGCGACGTCGGAAGCGGCAGGAAGACGTGGCGCCGCCGCCGCATGAAGCTACACCAGAGGAGAGCGGGCAGCGCCGCCCTTAAAGAACTTCTGAGCAGGTAGCTCCGCATGGTGACCTTTTCCGTAGATTGGAGGAAAAAAAGGCCGCTGCAATGCAATCTTTTGCAAAAAGAGCCATCCGTCCTTATTTCATTGAATTTCATTGATTTTTATCGATTTTGATTCGAGTTGATCGATTTTCATTGATTTTTTGTTGGCTTCGTCGCAATCGATTTTGATCGATTTTGTCCAAAATCATTGGAAATTATTAGAAAACAT